TTCTATCTCCTGTATCACCAGCACCTAGCACAGCACCTGATTTTTAAATCTTATTTATTTATTTATTTATAGAGACAAGTTCTTACTCTGTCGCCGAGGCTGGAGTGCAGTGGTGTGATCATACCTCACTATAACATCAACCCCCTGGCCTCAAGTTGGCCTCCCAACATGTTGAGATTATAGGTGTGAGTCACCACATCTGGCCTTAATAGACACATTTTTTTTTAAAGCTTCTGTTACAAAGGACAGATAGTAGGACTTCAAGAGTTAAGATGAGCACAGACTAAACTTCCTAGATGTGCCATCTTCCAACTTAAATTAGAAAGTTCCTTGAGACATAGAGAAGGACAAAAACTGAGAACCATTCAGAAAACTTAGTGGTAAATTGTTGGCCAGAGTCCAAGATGGAATTTTCCCTAATGACCTGCCAGTGGGGCTGGGTGAAGTCACATGGTAGGAGGCCTATGCATAGCTCACCCTCTAAAGTGGCCCAGAACCTGCAGGCAGGAAACTTGCAGGGAGAAGCTTAGGCCCTCATCCACTGTACAGGGCTGCGCTCACCAGCAAATGGGCAGCACACTCCTGACACTCAGGTATGGTTTTCTGAGGCAGTCACTTCTGTCCACCCTCACCCCTTCCATTAGACTGTCTCTGCCTGTGTCTGTGGGGACACTGTGGCACTCAGTACCTATGAGCAGGGAGGGAGCAGGGCGGGATTGATGAGGAGGTGGCCTAGAAGCCACGCTCGCCTAATGCAGGGACCCTACAGATGGAAAGCGTGGAGGTTTATTTCGCAATATCTGATACACAGTAATATAAATACATTGTAGTAATTAAATTATATTAACCCAGTTTGAGGGTCTTTGGTTTTTAGTATCGTGCATTTATTTTTATTCTGGTGTGTTTGGTCTTATTTCTTTTATTTTGGTTTATGCCTTCTCTTTTCCATGTTTGTTTTTGTTTTTGCCTTCTGTGATAGGCAAGATTGAATGATGATGGATTTCTTAGAGTCATGGTCTCACTATATTGCCAGGCTGGACTTGAACTCCTGGTCTCAAATGATTCTCCAGTCTCAGCTTCCTGAGTAGCTAGGAGTACAGGTGCACCACTGTGACTGGCTGGTGATTTGTTTTTATCTTCTGTAATTTGGAAAGTATATAGCCTATTGTTTTAATTCTGCCAACACCTTGAAGATTTTTAAAAACTTTCTTGAACCCATGTAATATAGTTTGGACTTCCCCTGCAAATCTCATGTTGAGATGTAATCCCCAGTGTCAGAGGTGGGGTCTGGTGGGAGGTGTTTGGGTCACGGGGGCAAATCCCTCCTGGCTTGATGCTTTTCCAGAGATAGTGAGTTCTCGTGAGATCTGGTTGTTATAAAGTGTGATGCCTCCCCACACTCTCTCTTGCTCGTGCTCTGCCATGTGAAACCCCGGCTCTCCCTTTGCCATCTACCATGAGTAAAAGCTTCCTGAGACCTTCCAAGAAGCCAAACAGATGCCTAGCACCAGGCTTCCTGTACAGCCTATAGAACCATGAGCTATTTAAACCTCTTTTCTTTATAAATTACCCAGTCTCAAGTGCTTATTTGTGCAATGCAAGAAAAGCCTAATACACCACGTTTCTCTATCAGACTGAAACTAAATCTACCATATTTGCCTCCCTTCCAATAGAAAGTGAGAAGTTTCTCAGGCCCTCCTTCCATATCTCTTCATTAGCGGCCTAGGTGATCACACCTCTTTTTTAAAAATGATATAGGTCTTCTTTTTGCAAAAATTGGTTTTAAATTTGGGATCCAAATTTTGGCCTTTTTTTTTTTTGAGACAGAATCTTGCTCTGTCACCCAGGCTGGAGTGCAGTGGCACCAACTCGGCTCACTGCAAACTCCACCTCCTGGTTCACTCCATTCTCCTGCCTCAGCCTCCAGAGTAGCTGGGACTACAGGCGCCCGCCACCATGCCCGGCTAATTTTTTGTGTGTTTTTTAGTAGAGACAGGGTTTCACTGTGTTAGCCAGGATGGTCCTGATCTCCTGACCTCATGACCTCATGATCCACCCGCCTTGGCCTTCCAAAGTGCTGGGATTACCGCATGGGCCACTGCGCCCAGCCAGTCATGTTTATAATTATTTATTTGATTCTCTGTATTTACATGGTTTCCACATTTCCTGCAGGCTCCACTTACTATGGCTGCACAACAAATTATCCCCAAACAGTGGCCGGGTGCAGTGACTCATGCCTGTAATGCCAGCACTTTAGGAAAGGCTGCGGCAGGCCAAGCACTTGAGGCCAGGAGTTCGAGACCAGCCTGGCCAATGTGGCAAAACCCCGTCTCTACTAAAAACACAAAAATTAGCCAGGCAAGGTGGTGTGTGCCTGTAGTCCCAGCTACTTGGTAGACTGAGGCAGGAGAATTACTTGAACCCAGAAAGCAGAGGTTGCAATGAGCCAAGATTGTGCCACTGGGTGACAGAGTGAGACTGTCTCAAAAAATAAAATAGACCAGGTTCAGCAGCTCACGCCTGTAATCCCAGCACTTTGGCAGGTCGAGGTGGGCGGATCACCTGAGATCAGGAGTTCAAGACCAGCCTGGCCAACATGGTGAAACCCTGCCTCTACTAAAAATACAAAAATTAGCTGGGCGTGGTGGCGTATGCCTGTAATCCCAGCTACTTGGGAGGCTGAAACAGGAGAATTACTTGAACGCAGAAGGCAGAAGTTGCAGTGAACCGAGACCACACCACTGCACTCCAGCCTGGGTGACAGAGTGAGACTCTGTCTCAAAAAACATAAATAAAATAAAAATAAAAATAAATGATCCCAAAGCTTAATGCTTAACACAATAATCATTTGTTACCTCTTGCTCTTTCCATGCATTACAGTTTAGACAAGGTATAACAGGGATGGCTGATCTCTCCTCCAAAGGAGACATGAAATGTCTGAGGCCTCAGCAGTAAAACTCCAAAGTTGAGCCTCCAGCTTGGCTAGAATCATCTGAAGGCTTGCTTACCTGAAGGTGGTGTTGGCTGTCACTCAGCGGGAGGCCTGGCTGGGGCTACTGACCAGAACACCCACACATGGCCTCTGGTGTGCCTGGCCTCCCTCACAACATAGTAGCTGAGTTCCAAGGGCAAGCATCCAGAGAGAGCGAGCCAGGTGGAAGCCATTGCCTTTTATGACCTAGCCTCAGAAATCATTCAGTGTCACTTCTGCTGCATCCTGTTGGTTGGGACGGTTACAAAGTTCTGCCCAAGTTCCATGGAAGTGTGTCAAGATCACTTTGTAAGACAAACATGTGGAGGTGCCCACATATGTACACACGTGTGTGCATGTATACACATGTACATACATACATATGTATATGCTGATACGGTCGTCTTTGAAAAAAGACCATCAGCCATACTGTATTTTCTTAAATTCTTGATTTTCAACTTATGTTTTAGGCAGTTGCAGAGTGTATTTGAGTAACTCTTTCAGGAAGATTGCATGAGTAGATACTTGAAAGTGTCTATGAGTCTCAATGTGCAGTAAGTAAAATGGCTGTCTTCTTTCTTATTTTAAAATTCATAGCCAGGTGTGGTAGCTCACTCCTGCAATCCCAGCACTTTGGGAGGCCGAGGCCGGTGGATCACCTGAGGTCAGTCTCTACTAAAAATATAAAAATTAGCTGGGGGGTGGGAGGGGTATAGGAATGGCACACGCCTGTAGTCCCAGCTACTGGGGAGGCTGAGGCAGGAGAATTGCTTGAACCCAGCAGATGGAGGTTGCAGTGAGCCGAGATCACGTCATTTCACTCCAGCCTGGGCAACAGAGTGAGACTCTGTCTCAAAAAAAAAAAAAAAAAACATAAGGCCAGGCATGATGGTTCATGCCTGTAGTCCCAGCACTTTGGGAGGGCAAGGTGAGAGGATCGCTTGAAGCCAGTGGATGCTCAGTGCACTGGCCTCCCCCACTGTGGAAGAAGCCAGTTTTGTCTCCATTTGCACAGGCATTTCAGTCTTCCCCATCTATACGTGTGTCTGTTCTTTGCATCTCATTAGAACTGGTTGTAGGCGCCTACTGGTCCCCTCATTAATAATGCGTTAGATGAAATCCAGAACACATGTACATTTTATATCTGCATGAGAATCATCATCTTTGATGAAATTATCCTTTAACATTCCTTTCCTGAAAAGTTGAAATGATGTATTCAACACTATCTATGACAGTGTAACAGCCATGATTTAATGATACTGATGGACAGTAGAATGCACATATGCAGATAGAGTGTGGTTAGAACTACATTTAATATTAATAAGAAAAAACTCGAAAATATGTAACAAAATGTGTTGAACTATTTAATATTTTTCTTCATTATATTTTCCAAAAATTTAAAAATATAGGCTGATGCAACCTTGGTAGAGAAATCCAGTGAAGCTAAACTCTAAGCCTCTGTTTTATTGAGGGATTAGTAATTGTTTTATGGTTCTTGAAGGGCTGGGAGGGGCTTCCTGGTCTCTGTATATCACTGGGGTCAGTGGGAGTGCTGCTGGAAAGTGAGGGAACATATGATGATTAATATAATAATAATAAATCAGTACTTGTAGTGTCCCAGGAATTGTGTCAGGCAGTATCTCCTTTAACCCTTACAACAGCCCTTTGAAGTAGATCGTGGTAGATGGTATTCCCATTGGCTAGGTGCAGTGGCTCATGACTGTAAACCCAGCACTTTGGAAGGCTGGGGTGGGAGGATTGCACCATGAGACCAGCCTGGCAACATGGTGAGACCTCATCTCTACAAAAAATAAAAAAAATTAGCCGGGCATGGTGGCGTGCACTCCTATAATTGCTGCTGCTGGGGAGGCTGAGGCAGGAGGATCCTTTGAGCCCAGGAGGTAGAGTTTGAAGTGAGCTGTGATCACACCACTGCACTCCAGGCTGGGTGACAGAGCGAGACTCTGTCTCAAAAAAAAAAAAAAAAAAAAAAAAAATAGTATGCCCATTTTATAGATGAGGAAACTAAGGTTAGGAAACTTAGGTTAAGTGACTTGCCCAACTAGTATGTGGTGGAACAGAGACTGAGACATGGGCTTTTACCCATGTCTTTTAACCCCTCTGCTACTGTGTGTCATGTGAGAAATGTTGGAGAGGAAGTCCTGAGGATCTCCTCCTGAAGAATTGTCCCCACTACTGGATCCAAGCCCTCAGAATCAATTCATCCATGAAACATTCACTGAGCCTCCTCTGTGTTCCAGGCCCTGAGAATAAAACGTGGTCTGAGTCTTCAAGTAACTCAGGAGCCAGGGTGAGCAGCCAGGGATGGGAGTTGGCCAAAGGAGGGGCCCTGGCTGGGGTGGGGAGGGTGAGGAAGTGCTTCCAGAAGGAGGCAGAAGCCCACTTGAGTCTTAAAAGATGGGAAGAGCCAGCCTGGTAAAGGGGTGAGGGTTGGGAAAGGGCATTGAGGGCAGAAGAAGGGCTTGAGCAGAGAGGGGAAAGAAACCCCCGAGAAGCACCATCAGCACACTCACTCCAGCTCTGCGGTTCACCTGCCTCCACTGTCCCCTCTTCTGCTGCTGCCCTGGTTACCAGAAGCCGTTTTGTTCCGTGGGAAGGTGGGTGGGCACAGTGCATTGCTAGGGGTGGGTACCTGAACATGCCAACAGAGCCTCCTTTTTCCAGGATGTTTGAACGTGGGTCAGATGGTCTCTCCCCAGGGCCTGACGGTGAGAGGTGCAGCCTGCAGAAGGCCTTGGCAGTGGATGTGCAGAGGGCACAGCAAGAGTGGGCAGAGTGGGCAGACCAGGCTGTCTGAGTAAGGGCTCAACACACCTCTGAGGTCCCGCTGCATGCTCAGCATGGGTTCCAGGACACATGCCAGGGCTGCCTTAACACATTTCTTGTTTCCTTTAGATTGTCCAAATTGGGTTTCTGTCACCTGTAACCAAAGATCCCTGCTGACACAGCCCCTGAGTTCCTCAGACTCAGGAGAGGGACCTTTAAACTAAGAGAGGCTGACCTGTAGATCAGGAAGTCAACCGACTCATTTCCCGTGAGAAATGTCACTGCTCATTGGGTCAGCCTTTCACATCATTACTGCCGGTGTCTCCTTTCCCTGGAGAAAAGCCACCTGCATTGACACCTGGCCCCTTGGAGCAGGCCACAGGCCCAGCGAGGATCTATAGCTAGAGGCATCAAGCAAGGACTGCCCAAGGGTCAAAAAACTGTTTCTGTTAAGGTTCAGACAGTAAATATTGTAGACTTTGCAGTCTCTGTTGAAACCATTCAACTCTACTACTGCAGTGTGAAAACAGCCAAAGACAGCACATAAATACATGAGCATAGCTGTGTTCCAATAAAACTTTACTTATAAACATTGAAATTTGAATTTCATACAATTTTCATGTGTCCTGATATATTACTCTTTTGTTGTTGTTGTTGTTGTTTTGAGACGGGAGTCTTGCTCTGTTGCCCAGGCTGGAGTGCCGTGGCACAATCTCGGCTCACTGCAACCTCTGCCTCCTGAGTTCAAGTGATTCTCCTGCCTCAGCCTCCTGAATAGCTGGGATTACAGGCACACAACACCATGCCCAGCTAATTTTTGTATTTTTAGTAGAGACAGGGTTTCACCATGTTGGCCAGGCTGGTCTGGAACTATTGACCTCAGGTGATCCGCCTGCCTCGGCCTCCCAAAGTGCTGGAATTACAGGTGTGAGCCACCATGCCTGGCCAATATATTACTCTTCTTTGAACTTTTTCCAATTGTTTAAGAATATAAAAGCCATTCTTAGCTCTCAGACAAAGCAGAAACCAGTGGTGAGGGACCAGATTTAGCTTTGCAGTCTGCAGTCTGCCTACTGTTGGCCTAGAGCGTGAACACTTATGCCAAGAAAGAAGATGGTTGACAAGGAGGCTGGACAACTGGGTCCATGGGCCAGGCCAGGGACACTGCTGAGGCTGCTATCCAGGCTTGTCACTCTAACTGCTGCTTCTCTAGCCATTCAGACCACCCTCCTCAGTCTACACCTTCCTGAAGAAGCAGCTCAAGACCCATGAGTGGGCTTAAGTGCTTGGAGATGATGACATGTCTAGTCTTGCCTCCCAAAATTTAGCTTCGGACCACCTTGATGCAGCTGCTCCTGATACTTCTATGGGCAGTTGTCCTGCCCCCATCCCCTGTGAGAAGCAGATTATGAAAGCCCACTCCTCCCACCCCACACAACCCAGGACCCAGAGGCCAGGAGGGAATAGGCTGGCTGTAGCTGCTGACTTGTGCCCTGGCGTGAAGGCATGAACTCTTTTGAGAGGGACCTTAAAAGACACAGTGGGAAGCTACAGTTACAAGCTGGCTCTGTGGCTGGGCGCAGTAGCTCACACCTGTAATCCCAGCACTTTGGGAGGCTGAGGCAGGTGGATCACTTGAGGTCAGGAGTTCAAGACCAGTCTGGCCAATACAGGGAAAACCCATCTTTCCTAAAAATACAAAAATTGGTAAGGCATGGAGGCATGTGCCTATAGTCCCAGCTACTCGGGAGACTGAGGCAGGAGAATTGCTTGAACCTGGGAGGTGGAGGTTGCAGTGAGCGGAGATTGTGCCACTGCACTCCAGCCTGGGGAACAGAGTGAGACTCTATCTAAAAAAAAAAAAAAGGCCGGGCGCGGTGGCTCAAGCCTGTAATCCCAGCACTTTGGGAGGCCGAAACGGGCGGATCACGAGGTCAGGAGATCGAGACCATCCTGGCTAACACGGTGAAACCCCGTCTCTACTAAAAAATACAAAAAACTAGCCGGGCGAGGTGGCGGGCGCCCGTCGTCCCAGCTACTCGGGAGGCTGAGGCAGGAGAATGGCATGAACCCGGGAGGCGGAGCTTGCAGTGAGCTGAGATCCAGCCACTGCACTCCAGCCTGGGTGACAGAGCAAGACTCCGTCTCAAAAAAAAAAAAAAAAAAAAAAGTGGGCTCTGTGCTGGAAGATTGAGTAGACTCAGGGACGAGGGTGGTTGTAGGAGGCTAGATGTCAGTGGAAGTTGGGGAATGGAGATTGGTGGAAGAGATAACAGTGGGTATCCTGGAGACAGAGATAGATCGACTGACTGGCTGAAAGAGAGACAGACAGTAGGTGAGTCCCAGACCTGTCCCATTTCTGGCCCTTCCTGAGGCTTGACTAGGGGTTCTTCACTGTAACTTCATAGCCCCCTCACCCTATACCTGGGGTAATCTGGGTAATTTCAATGCTTCTCTGATACAGTCTATCAAACCAGAAGCTGTGGAGCAGGTAATTTCTTTTTATTTATTTTAAATTTGTATAAATTTATGGGATACAAGTGTAATTTTGTTACATGCACAGAATTCATAGTGGTGATGTCAGGCTTTTAGGGTATCCATCACCCAAATAACATACGTCGTACCCATTAACTGAATTCTCATCATCCATCCCCCCATCCCCTTCTCTGTGTCCACTATTATTCCATACTCACACCCACGTGTGTACATTATTCGGTTCCCACTTGTGAGAACATGAATATTTGTCTTTCTGTGTCTGACTTGTTTCACCTAAGATAATGATGTCCAGTTCCATCCATATTGCTGCAGAAGACACGATTTCATTCATTTTTGTGTCTGAACACGATTCCACTGGGTATACAGACCATATTTTATTTATCTGATCGTCTGTTGATGGAGACGTAGGTTGATTCTATGTCTTGGAGGTGGTCATTTCCGCTGTTGGCCGAGCTCATCCTGAGTTTCTGATCTTACTCTCCAAGGGAACTCTGCACTTCACGTTGGGGACTTTTTGCTGTCTTGGTGTCTGCAGGTTGGAATCTTGCTTCAGCCACAAAAATTCACAGTTGGGTGGTCTGGGTCTCACTTCCCTCACCTCTTAAATGACTGTCCTGCATCAGGCACCGTTTATTATGACAATGTTGAACTTTATCTGAGCCCTGTGCCGCCAGAAGGCAGCGACAGTAAAGTTCTCCAACCTCTTTAAGTTCCGAGGAAAGAGCTAGCCACAAAGGACCACCTTAAGCTAGCATCCGAAGGAAAGACGGATCCTCACCCTTTCTTACTATTCCCCAAGACTCGCTGATGACGCCTTTGTTTACCTGCCTATCTAAAACCCCAGTCCCCTTTGAGATGCTCCTCATTAATGAACGTTCTCCCTATTGCAATGACCTGAATGAAATCTTAACTGTCTGGGGCCTTTTGCTTTCACAATGACCATAATTGTGTGGTTGTAAGCGTCAATCGGGGGCGCAGCCGGAGTCCCAGGTCCCAGTCCTGGCTCCCCCATGTCAGGCTTCCCCTTTGGGCCGGTTTCAGGTCTCAGTTGGGAGCTCCCTAAGGGCCACTAGCTTAGAATATGTGTGAGTGGCAACCCAATCCCTCAACCCCTGAGCGGGGAGCCCGGGCAGAGCGAGCTGCTGTAACTTTTGCACGCCGCCACCAGAGGGCGGCGGCTCCGCGGAGGAGGGCCCCAGCCTCTGCGCCCGCTCGCGCCCACAGTGCCTTTAAAACGTGCGTTGGAAGTGGACGCCACGCAGCCTGCTTTCCAGAGCCCCGGCGCTTCCCTTCTTCCTCTGCTGCACTCCAGGCGCCTCCCTTACGCGCCCACGCGCGGCGAGTCCTTCGGCTCCGCAGGGCGCGCCTCAGGACTCTTGAGTGGGCAGGAGGGCTGGAAAGCCAGGCCGGAGCTTCGGGTCTCTAGCGCTGTGCAGGGCACAAGGTCCCTGCCCCTCTCACGGTCGCTGGCCTCTCTTCTCTACTTAAATCTGGAAGGATTTCTGAGGCAGTGGGAAATGGGGAGGAGGGACGAGAGCCCAAGACCACTGTCTTGGATGCGGGATTTAATCAGTCACACCCATCAGCCCCTTAGAACGTCACAGCGTTTCCTTAAAGTGGGCAAGACAGGAACTGTTGCCCCTTCTGAAAGATGGGCAAACGGGCTCCCAAAGAAAAAAGTTGATTAGCAGAGCTAGTAAATGGCAGAATTAGGACAGGAACTCAGTTCTCCTAGGCCCGGACCCGGAGCTTTTGGGGTAGGGTGGCACAGAGATGGCTCCCTGCCTGGCGTGAGTAAACTGGACGCTCCAGCAGAAAGGGGCGCCGCACATCCTTTCCCGCAGGACGGCCACCCCTGGACATCAAAATGGAACCGCTTTTGGACTCAGATTGTAGAGTTCTTTTTGTTGTTGTTTATTGTTTATTTATTGAGACAGGCTAGCTCTGTCACCCAGACTGGAGGGCTGTGGCACGATCTCGGCTCATTGCAACCTCTGCCTTCCGGGTTCAAGCGATTCTCTTGCTTCAGCCTCCCAAGTAGCTGGGATTACAGGCGCCCGCCACCACGCCCGGCTAATTTTTGTATTTTTAGTAGAGAAGGGATTTCACCATGTTGATCAGGCTGGTCTTGAACTCCTGACATTGTGATCTGCCCACCTTGGCCTCCCACAGTGTTGGGATTACAGGCGTGAGCCACCGCGCCGGGCATGTTTGCTTTTTAAAGTGCATATGTCTACGTACACATTTTAGAGGAAAATAGAAATACTAAAGGCAAACTGTCCACAGTGGCCGTCTGTGGCAGTTGAAGTAGCAGTAATGGAAATTGCATTTTATCTGTATTGTTCAAAATATTCACTACTAGCATATATAAATCAGAAAGAGGAGCAATGATTCAGGACTTCTGTTTGACAGAATGATAATAATACTTCCTCTTTAAATAATTGGAAAATACAGGGTGGGTGCGGTGGCTCATGCCTGTAATCCTAGCACTTTGGGAGGCCGAGGTGGGAGGATCCCTTGAGCCCAGGAATTTGAGACCAGCCTGGGCAACATGTCAAAACCCCATCTCTACAAAATAAAAAATTAAAATGTAAAAATTGGAAAATAAAGAGAATGAAGAAAATAAAATTCATCAGTACCTCCTCCCAGATATTGGTATTTTTCTTTCTGGTTGGTTTCTTTCTCTACAAAATGTGAATAACAGTATTAACTGTACAGGAATGTTGTGAGGATTGAGCGAGAGAACGTATGTAATAGTTAACATTCCAGAAGTGTTAGCTATTTTTATATGTAACAAAATCAGCACCAGACTGTATCTACCATTTCTATGCTGCTGTCTTCACATCCAGCATTGCTTCATGAACGGTTTCCCATTCAATTCTTCTTTTAAAATTGTATTTTTAGTGATGGTACAGTATTTTATTACACGTAAGTACAATTTATTTAAGTTATCCCCTATTGTTAATCCTTTAGAATGTTTCCAATTTTTGCTGTTAAAATAACAGAGAGATTAACATCTTTAAACATCTACGTTTGTCAGCATTTCTGATTATTTCCTTAGATGAATTTTTAGAGGTAGGATTACTGGGACAAAGGGTGCAGATATTTTTCAGGCTTT